CTTGTTGCTGTCATCCTGGATGGAACCAACTCAGCTGGTCCTGCACTGAGTGTCGCAGGCTGGAAAGCACGAGGCAGGAGACTGTCCACCTCCCTCCCCTGAAGTTGCTGAGGGATTCTAACTGCAAGAAAGGTGCACTCTTTAGGTCTGAAGCACAACTCCCTACATTCTAGGCACTCGAGCTCCCTTCAACAGGAAAGGCTGGTTCATGGCTGAGCAATCCATGGACACCCATCAGATTTACAGGGGAAGAGCTGGAAAAATATAAATGATCTACAAATTACAGATTACTTCTCGACATATATACAGTTAAATGAATTCATGATAAATAACCGATGAAAGATGCTTCTACTGGTTTTCAAACACTCTCCAGGTTAATTTTATAAACGCAGGTTTGGGTCTTGTTTGTTAACAGTTTTCAATCTTCTCCAACATACCATCTTGTAGTAATTAAAGCTTGTGTTAAGAAAAAAGAACTAGATACCATACAATTTATATGCTGAAATATTTTTAAAATATTTGTATTATTTACTCTGTGTACTTAACCATTTCCTTCATAAAATTATTAGAACTATTGATCTTTTGAACAAAAATCACTAGAAACTACACTACTACTTTAAAATGATACACTATTTATTAGTAATAGTTCTTCAGGTTTTAGAAAATTTTACCACAACAATTGATTTTTACTTTCCACCTTCCCATTTGCCTGAACTCAAGGATGTGGAAATGTTCACTCCAGAATTAAAGTTAATCACAAAAAAAAAGGTACAGCAACCACAGGTGGAGGGGAGAACTAACGTAGCACAGATCTCATTAATGCTGCGGAAAGATATTTTTACACATTTTCTTAGCTCCAGAAATACCTGTCTCTTTGCCTGGATGCTCACTGGAATACTTATTATGTTTGAAAGGGCTTTTCTGTGTTTTTTTTTTAAAAAAAAACCAAAACTTTAGAAATTTTTTTTTCATTCCCTGTGGTTTTTGGACCACCTGTCAAAAAAGAATCATTGGGGAGCTTATAAAAGAGTACAGATTCCAACACTCCATTCCCAGATAGTCTAAATTGATAGGAATGGAACAGGCCCAGCAATCTGGGATCTTATTACATGATCTACATGATGAACTTGCAGATGGTAATCCATCCCAGTGATGGTTAATGTTACCTGTCAGATTTTCTACATCCTGAGTTCCAGTATTCTTTGGCTGTCACCCATTCTGCGTTCTAGTTCTTTCTCATTTTCTGATATTAGGCATCCTTCATCTTGTGTTGTTAACCCTAATCGCTATGTTAATGAGGCAGTATTAGTTTGGACTGTATCCTAAGTCATATCCATATAAGAAAGTAACATTCAAGTCACTTTATTTACTGATGTTCTCTATCTGAGCTATGTAACTTAGGTAACATCCATAATCTGATGAAAAGGGAATTAGCCTGGAAGTACGACCTGTATCCACTAATCATATGGGTACTCTGGTAATACCCTCCCTTGCTCTCAACTCTAGCTTTTGGAATCTTGTCTACCAATTTGTCTTCTGACCTGATTCTGGGGTTCACCAGCTTATAAATCCCTGTTGTGTCATGGCTTGCCATCTGACCTACTGGTTCTGGATGTATCAGTTCCTACAGCCCCATGAGTCAACAGCTTTTGAACTGCCTGCTGTGGGTTTACCAGCCCCTGCAATCATGTGAGTCAGGAAAAGGCCTGACAACTGACCCATGGATAGAAAGGGTACTTGTCGGCCTTCAAAAGATCTGAAGCACTTATGAGGAGGCTCAGAGTGTAATCTTCAGTACAGATTATACTTCAACATAAAGAAAATGACTCTAACTCTAACCCTAACTTAAAACTAGATCAATAATCAACATCATGATAAAAGAGAAAAGAATGAAATTGCCAAGGATTTCATTTTACTGGGATCCGTGGTCAACACCCACAGAAGCAGCAGGCAAGATATCAGAAGATGTATCACATTTGGTAAACAAGCTCTCAAGGATCTCTTTTAAAAACTCTAAGGAGCAAGGAAGTCACTTTAAAGGATAAAATCCAACTGACTCAAGCCATGGCATTTTCAATTACTTCATAAGCATGCACACAACCGACAATAAATATGATCAAAGAAAAACGTATGCTTTTCAATTGTGCTTCTGACAAAAAATACTAAATGTACCATGAACTACCAAGAACCAAACAAATCTGTCAAACTGGACTTGACAGAAGTACACCAGCATGCCCTAAGAGAAGCAAGCATGGTGAGATTTCATCTCCCATACTCTGGGCATATCCAGGAGGGGTTAGTTCCTTGAGAATATTATGCTTGGAAAAGAGTAGAGTCCTTAACGAAAGAAAAGCTCTCAACTAAACAGACTGGCATAGAAACTGCAACTAAATTATAAAGGAGAGAAATCTTTAGCTAATTTTAAAATAAATTTCTTTTCAATGAAGACTTTTTAATGTTTGATGTAAAGTTAAAAAGTTACACTAAGTCAGGTGTGTTGTAAATGGTCAGATTGGCTAGAGATAGGGCAAGGTTCAAAGCTATTGTTCATAAGGTCCCTAAGAGTTAACTCGTCAGCACGTAACAAGAGTCAGAGTCCTGGTTTAAACGAAAATCTATACAATAAACTGCACTCTTTGACAAGTTACTTCTCACTTCTCAGTTTGTAAAGCACGGAAGAGAATATATCCTCCCTCTCTTTGCCAGGAAGAATGAAAATGGTCTGTTTGTAAATTAATTAGCATGGTGACTGAAACACAACAAATAGTAATCACTATTACTGCTACTGGGATCTCTGGATGGTAAGCTTAACCGTTCACTATCACTCAAAGGGTTGTTGCTTCTAACCTTGCTACAGGTACGTACCTTAGAAGTGAACCCTTGTGATCAATTTCTGAAAGGTCACAGCCTTAAAGATCCTATGGATCAGTTCCACTTTGCACACGTATTGTCCTAAGTTGGAATCAATTTGATGAAAACTAATAACAATACTATTGCCATCTAAAATCAATTACTAACACTAGGTGTGTCAGCGATAATAAGACTGGCGAGGGACAGAGCATGGTTTAAGGCTGTTGCACATAGCGTCGCTATGAGTCACAGGTGACTCGACATCATATAACAACAGCAACAACACTAAAGTGCCATATACGTCTTCCCTAATCAGAAAGTGTTAACAAAACCTTTAAAATGTGTATCTAACTTCTACAGATTAACAGACTAGCTAATGTGAGAGATGAACCTAATAATTTGAAGTCTATCGGGTTCTGTGTAAACTTTAGGAAAAAAACAGCAGCAATTAATTGGCAAAGTAAGTTCTATACTAACACATGTAAATTAGGCATTTTTGTAAGCCTCATTCCAATAAGAAAAGTTTTAATCATCTTACTTCAGAGACTAAAAGTGTTCAAATTCAGTTTCTACAGGTTATTAAGCCATACATCACTCTTCTTGAGGAATATGTTAACTATCTGAGTTATTAATATGCCAACAGTGTTCAATGATGCCTTCCACAGTTAATTGGCTAAGGGACCTGATAAAAAAAGAAATGTAATGAATAAACTCCTACTGAAGTTCAGAGGAAGTTTTAGATAAGGATCTATAGTTAATTTGTTTGAAACTACTGTTTGTTTTGAGTTGATATCTTTAACATTTGTTATAAAAATACTCAGCATTTATATTTAAACTTACCTTAACCCATTATAATGTGATCATAATATGAGTTCATCTTGGACTAGCTACGAAAGCACACAGTTTAACCCCATAAATAGTTTACTAAGCATGTAATATATTCTAGATTATTCTAGTATAGAAAATTTAAGGCATTAGTGTTCTATGCTCCTAAGGGACAAGGGAAGAATTACTCATATATATTAAAAAAACTAGATTTTTATAAGAAAATTTACAGAAGCAAGTGGTGTAAAAAATGTGTCAAAACTGTATATTGCCGTTAGTTTGTAAAAAATGTTTCTATTTTCTATTAAATCCTTTGCGATTGAACACATTTAGTAACTGAGCAATTCAACTCTATCTCTGATAGACATGTAGACTGACATATAGGCAGAGAGACAAATACATGGATATGTTTATATATGTGCATCACTTTAACCTAGTCAATTATTTCCTCAGCAAGGCAACACATCTGCTCTAGAAAAGAAAAACTAAAAACAAAGCAAAACCACCTGTAAACTTCAGAAAACATATTATCTATGCTTACTCTGTAATTCTGTATCACACAGCAGACCCAAAGCAGGTGCAGAACTAGCCTATTTAATCAACAGTTATACTGGTTAATTGGCTCTTAATCTTCCACATAGTCTTTCTTCAAATAAAAACACTTTTCAAAAAGCATTTCAATGATTCTTTTTTTCTTTAGTCTCTTAAAAAGCCAATGTCCAGCCTCAAAACTGATGTAGATTCTTTTTCTGCTGCTGACAGAACGGAGAAAATGTCCACAAAATATTATTTTTTTCCTTTGCAAAGTACTTAAAGAAAAGGAAACTCTCTAAGAAAAACAATAACAATTCTAGCACAGTAAAGTTAATAATGTAATAAAGAAACCTAAAATTCAAGGATCTACTGCTCTCAATTTGATTCTGACTCACAGTGACTCTAAACAGAACAGAGCTGTCCATCAGGTTTCCAAAGCGGTAAATCTCAAAGGAAGTAGACTGGCTCAACTTTCTTTCAAGGAGTATTTCGTGACTTGGGACCACTGACACTCCAGTAAGCACTAAAATACTGAATCTCTGCACTATCAAACCAACTGCCACCGAGGTGGCTTGAACTCATAGCAACTTTCATCAGGTTTTCAAGGCTAAAAGGCTTTATGGGAGAAAACTGTCAAGCTTTTTCCCAAGGAGCAACTGGGGTACACAAACCATCAACATTTTGGTGAGAAACACAAGACATTGTGTTCTACACCAACAAAGCCTCTTACCGCCCTACCAGGATGCCTTAAACAAGGACTAGCAACTTGTGATTACTTTAATAAAGCTCACCTGTTCATTCTTGCAAAGCCACACGCTGTTTCCACGTAACACAGTAAAGATTTTGGCTTTATAGCCTCTCAATTCAAGATAGCCACATTTCTCAGGTGCAACAGCGGGAGTCTGTGAGGTAAGGGATTGTGATTTCAATGCATTTAATAGTATGCTGATCCAGTCATTTCGTTCCTCTGAAAAGAAAGACAAAAGAAAATGCATAAATCCATATATATTTAAGTTATACAGATACAAAAATATTAAATTCTCAAAATGCAACAAATAATTTACAGATTCTTTCCCACAATGAACAATTTAAATGCTGACAAGTGGCCAAGTTTTGTAAAGGAAAAAAGGGATCCTTCAGTTGTTTTAAAATCAGTATCACAGGTTTCACCTGATGCTTACCTGAAAAATAAACCACTGCCATCTAGTTGATCATGCTCACGAAACCCCTTGATCTGAGAGGCTGCAAATGTGAATCATAACAGGAAAAGACTATCTCTTCTCCAGCAGGGAGGCTGTTATAGACCCTAACCAACTTTTCATTAGCAATCGAACTTCCAACTTCACTTTGCAAACTCTGTACATATTTTCAGGAAGTGCCAGTTCTTGGAAAAAGTCATCCCGTCAGGAAAAGTAAAGAGCCTTTAAAAGAGAGAAAGACCCTCAAAGGGATAGACAGACACAGGGGCTGCAACAATGGGCTTTTGCAGGTAGAGAAAAAGATAGTGCAAGGTTGGGCAATGTTTCAATTTGTTGTTCAAAGGGTCAATATCGTCAGAGTTGACTTGATAGCATCTTTGTTGGAAACTCAAAACTTCAGATCTAGGGAATCCAAATCTGAACTCTAAGAAGATCCCTAGTAATGCAGTGATCCCTGCATGCACCTTAATATTTTGGGAAGCACTCCATTAGATTACTTACAGATTTTTCTCCTTTAATAGAAGAAAGTGACATTTCTCCTCAACAATCATCAAATTTCACTTTCCAAATCAATTATTCATATATTGCCTAATCCTACTTTCAAGTTTATGGTTACTCTGCATCTACCATGCATCATCTCATCTTCAATGTACACACTCTGTGTTGTAGTGGGTCTGTTTCTAAAATCTGGCTTCACTAGGTCCTTGTCTTTCATCTGAGTCTGCTGCCACAACTTTGCCTGCCCTTTAAACACAATGGTCTGTCTGTATCAACAGTTGCACGAACCATCTCTTCCTCATGCAAGTAGGGCATGTTGTCTATCCACAAAGGGAGTGGCTAGCCTCTCCATTACATTGAGCTCACTGACAGAAAGTGGGACTCTCACCAACAGGAGAAGAGGAGGAAGTACAGAATGGACAAGTGCATCCTTCAAGAATAGAGATTCCTATGTCAAAGACTTGATTTTTCTGTTGACTGAGAAGATATCTGGACTTAGGGATTGTAACTTGTGGTTACAATGAAATGAGAAGTTCTTTGGACTGAGAGACAGTATTTTTCTGCTAATCTGAATTATTAATTGCTAGACATTATATTTGAGAAACTTTATGAACTGAGGGATTGTATATTGCTGTTAACCTAAATATATAGCTTTTAATCTCCCTAATAAACACCATAACAACTAATACGGTCTGTCAAGTCTGTGTGGTCACTGCAATTGGTTTCAAGCCCAGCACATGCCTGCAGAAGAATGCTTTACCTATGGGAACTGGTTTTGTGTCATGGATGCTGTTGAGGAGGGCAGTTCCGCCTGGTGGAGTTAGCAGAGGTCAGATTTGACTGTCTCACTGTTGCCTTTCCTCTTTTCTCTCTACCTACTAACAGCACACCACCTGGCAAAATGTGGTTCTCTCCCTTATTCCTCAACAGTTATGTGACCTTCAACTATGTACAACAGACTGTTACAGAAATAAGAATTTAATCTAGTCCCCAAAGAGCAATCAAAGCTGTAAGGCAAGTTGGATTTGAACATATCATGCAACACAGCATAATATAAATGTCATGCAAATGGTACCAAATAAAATATGAGCCAATTGAATCAGTAAGTTATTTGCTAAAGGCCATATAGCTAATGATTATTAAAATTAGGAGAATCAAATGTTCCCATTTTTCAGACAACTATTCTAAGGCAGTATAATAGAAGAGGTATCTGCTCGGTCTTCCAAAGACAAATGTGAAGTTTAAAATTTGGATGGGGGAAAACAAAAGAGGATTCTAAGCAGAAGGAAATACAATAACACAGGCAGGAAGAGCATATGTTCAGGGAATAACTTGCGGATGTGTATATTTATAATTTTGGATTCACAAAAAAATAATGGGAAATGTGGCTAGAAATTCTGCACTAAGTAATTCTATATTTATTAGCATTGTCAGCAAGGAAGGGGAAAGTCAGAAATAATGGCACTTATACGATTTCTTCTGAAAGCTCAGAAATCAGGAATAAGGCAATGAAAAAAAGTCAAACTACATCCACTTTGTAACTCTTAGTCTGGCTTTGTAACAACTGTATTAAGCTATCTTTTTAAAGTTTATATTGAAAAGAAATTTCCTGACTAGTGACCTTTCAGAAATAGCCAGAGGATTTTTTTTTCCTTTGAATAAGATAGTTGCATGGGAGTTTCAGAGTATGCTTTCAATAAACATTGCATATCATATGGCAGGCACTCGAATAATGAAGTCCGAGCTGAAAAGACAGAGACAGGTCTTGTTTTCTAGAAGGGGAAGTCAGAGAAGATCAGCCTGGATGATGGATGATAAAAGTTCAGTGTTCTACCAGATTACACGGGAATTACTGTTTTTATTATTAGGTGCCACTGAGTTGACTCAACCATTGAGTCGACCCTGTGAACACAAGATCAAAAACATGCCCTACTCAGAACCATCCTCATTATCTCTGCCATGCTCAAGCTCACTGCTGCAATCTGTGTCAACCTATGTTACTGAGTCAGAGAAAGAAAGGAATTATACAAAGAAATAAAGTAATTAAACAAAGAAAACTATAAAGAAGTGCAGAGTTACTTAACTAATGCTGGGAATCAGAAACACTTTCATGTACCAAAACAATCCAAACCAAACCTGTTGCCATCAGCTAAATTCTGACTCTATAAGGACACAGCAGTACTGCCTTTATAAAATTTATAAGGTTATTCACTTGTATCACTTTCTTTCTTCTTATTCTCCACGGACTGGTTAGTAGGATTAGGCCACTAGACTTCTGGTAAGCAGTAAAGGACTTTAACTGTCATACTACCAAGCTTTCCAAATAATAAGACAAACACACAAAGTCCACTGTCCTTCTCACAGCAACCTTCAATGGCTTTCTGAGCTATTAATCTTTATGGGAGGAGAATGTCTCATCTTTCTCCTTGGGTGAAGCTGGTGGATGGAAACTTCAAACACAATGAAAATGGAAACAAAAGAACATGCAAAGAGTCAGCACATAAGAATGGGAATGATGGATGATATTTTTTAATGTCTGGCAGATGTTCAACATAAAAATAAATTAACTGTTCAGAGGAAACTGTATGTTTGTAATCATGAACTTGTTTAAGATCATAAACTGGCCATGCACTGTGAAAGTATGAAGATGGAAGGTGAAAGATTGCATGTCCTTAACCATCATAAAGTTTTTAATGATAGCATGCTATCAATGGAAATAAACAAGAAAACACTGGACATTGACAAACATTTAAAGTAAAATGAGGATAAATAACTCTGTCTAAATGGTTGGAAGCGGAACTAATTAAGACACAAGAAAAATTAATTATCAAGGTAATAGGGAATGAAAAAGAGGGGGGAGAGTCTGAAATTCTAGGTAGGAAAATGTATCAAGAAGAAAAATTTAAACAAAGTCCAAACTTTGAACAGTTTCTGAGAAACTTTTATGACAGGTCTTCTCAAAATAACTTCACTAAAATAAGTAAGTTTCCATACCAGCGTTGCTCAGCTTCAAATACGAAGCCAAAGATACTTCATAATTATAAGTCTTAATTTTAAATTACCAGCTGTTCCACAGAAGAAAGAGGGAAATGTCCTCCTATACAATTTATACCCACTGCAAACCTGCTGAAGGGTAAGAGTAAGATATGAGTCAGTTCCAATCTAAGAGTACATCGCAACGCAAAAAACTACTAAAAGAGTTAGGAGCTCTGGTGGCATAGTCCCAAAAATGTAAAGGTTGCAAGCGTTCAGTAGCTACAAAGCACCATTGGTTTTGTGTTGTCAAAAACCTTGAAAACTGATTTTTTTTATCCGTTGTGTTAGACCTTGTTGGGGGCGTGGTCTTCAGCCACCTTAAATCATTCACATGGTCTTGCAAATCACCAACAGCTATGGGAACAATATAAGAGACAGAGTGTCCGAGTCACAAAGGGACAAATATTGCATGGTGCCACTGTTGTAGAATGGGACTGTCCTTGGGGTTGGGGAGAGATTGAGTAAGATGGGTTCAATAATGTATGCTGCTCTGAAACAGAGAAGGGAGAAAACTGTTTAAAAGAGATATGTGATTAGGTATTTCTGTCATGGCAGG